GCAGCAGCAGCTGCTGCTGCTGCTGCATCTGCTGCTGCTTCTGCAGCTGCTGCTGCTGCTGCTGCAGCGTCTGGCGCAGCAGCAACTTCTGCTGCAGCTGCAGTTTGATCGTCTGCTGTATTACGCACTCCTCCATCGTGTGCCTCACCAGGGGGACATACAAAACCTCTGCTGCTGCTGCTGCTGCTACTGCTGCTGCTGCTGCTGCTGCTGCTGCTAGTGCTGTTGCTGCTGCTGTCGCGAGTGCTCCCGAGCAGATCGTCTTCGGTCCCCCTGGCGGTGGTGCTGCTGCTGCTGCTGCTGCTGCTGCTGCTGCTGCTCTCGCAGGTGCCGCACTCAACAGCAATTAGCTTGCTGCTGCTGCTGCTGCTGCTACTGCTGCTGCTGCTGCTGCTGCTGCTGCTGTTGCTGCTGCTGTTTAACCTCTCCCGCTGCTGCTGCTTGCACCGCTGCTTCGTGTGGCTGCTGCTCCACGCAGACACGGGCCCCACCCAACCGCATGCGCTGCAGCAGACAGGCAGAAGCAAATACTGCAGCAGCAGCAGCAACAGCAGCAGCAGCAGCAGCAGCAGCAGCAGCAGCAGCAAATCATGAGAGCGTACGAATAGGTGCTTATTCTGTTGCTGCTAACTCAAGAAGGAGACAGAAGAAAGGAGACAGAAGAAATAACAAAAGGAGACAAAATAAACAACAAAAGGAGACAACAAAAACAACAAAGGGAGACAGAAGAAACAAAAAAGGAGACGAAAAAACAAAAAAGGAGACAAAAAAGGCGACAAAAGAAACAAAAAGGGGGACAAAAGAAACAACAAAGGGAGACAAAAAAACAAAAGGAGACAAAAAAGGAGACAAAAGAAACAAGAAAAGGAGACAAAAGAAACAACAAAGGAGACAAAAAAACAAAAAAGGAGACAAAAAAGGAGACAAAAGAAACAAAAGGAGACAAAAAAGGAGACAAAAAAAAGCAAAAAAGGAGACAGAAGTGTTTACATGGAGAAGCAGATCGACGAGGCCTTCGTCCTCAGCCTCCTCCAGCGGCTTCACGTTCTTCATATACAACGCCCTGCAGCACCAGCAGCAGCAGCAGCAGCAGCAGCAGCAGCAGCAGATGCAGCAGCAGCAGCAGCAGATGCAGCAGCAGCAGCAGCAGATGCAGCAGCAGCAGCAGATGCAGCACCACCACCACAACCACCACAACAACCACAACAACCACCACCACAACCACCACCACCATCACCACCACCACCATCAGCAGCAGCAGCAGCAGCAGCAGCAGCAGCAGCAGCAGCAGCAGCAGCATCTAACCTTCTACAAAGGGGACAGAAGCTAGTTTTGGTTAATACAGCGAGGAGACAGTCTCCGCAGAAGACGTGGCAGCAAGGAGTAAAGACAGGCAGCAGCAGCAGCTCCAGACAAATGCTGCAGCGAAAGTCAAACTCAGAGTAGTATGCGTCGCTGCATAATATATACTTCTCCTCTTCTTCTCTCTTCTTCTTCCTGCTGCTGCTGCTGCTGCTGCTGCTGCTGCTGCTGCTGCTGCTG